GTGCATTCCCTCCCTCCCGTTGTCGGGGAGCGAGGGGGGGACATTTCATAAACACAGGCCCTCCGCGCGAGCCCGATGGGAGCCGGGCTGTCAGGCCGGCGGCGCTTAGAGACTCTCTGGCCGGTCACCCCGGGTGAGCTCTAACTTCACTTTCTTCTTTCCAAGCCATGACCATGCAGTTCATCAGCCACCGGTTCCCGGAAGATCATGACCCCACCATCGGTAAGTAGGACTGTCCCGCAGGTGTCTCCCCAGACAAATGCCTCGGTGCCCGTCTTTAAAACAGTTTTTTAACTATAGTTTGAGCCTCTTTTGGTGTCTAATTCAGGTTGATTTAAGAAGAGGATCAGAGCGGTGGGTGAGCAGATGCATTTTTCTTTTCCTCACTTAACTCTGGATATAAGCCATTGTTAGGCTCCGTCTTTTATTGGACATGAATGGGACACTTTCTTTGTCCTATTTTTATGGCTCTACTGTATTGCTGGATTAAAGGAAAAGTTTAAAGGCCACTTAACCTTTTGCTGTCAGTTCTCTAAGGGTCTGACTTGAGGCTGACTCTCTAACTATGAGTCAGCTGGTTTGAACTTCCACAATTCTCCTTGGCGATGGCGATGTACTCGTCCACTGAAAAACACTGCTGAACGCTTACCGTCCAGCTCTCCAGGCCTGGACTTCCCACTTGCAAGCTCATCACTTACTTCCTTGTAGCTCAAGTTCACTAAACAGTAAGGTCTTCCTGCATGCCTTTTGTAATCCTTAATGCTCTATTGGCAAAATGCTCTTAGAATAAAAAGTAACTATTTCACCTTTTAAAAAGATTTCCCTTTCTCTACAAAGACTAAGAACATTACTGTTGTTCATAAACCATAAGGAGACAGATTGGATCTAAGGGTTATATCTCAGGATGAGAGGGGCCAGGGTAGGGGTGAGCACAGGTCTGCCCTGCTGCCCGTGTTTTCAGGATGTGACACTTAGTCATGGTCCTGGGTCTCCAGGAAGGATTTTGATTGAGTCAGGCCTCTGCTGCCCTGTTCTCCACAAAGCCACTGGGTGTCTGTGCTAACCCAGCTTTGGCTGTGGTCATTTCTTATAGTAGGTAACTATGGTGGGTGAGGGAAATAGAAACAGTGCTTGCTTTTCGTGAACTGTATTAAAGTTAGAACACTGTTCACAGGTTCAAACTCTGATGGGAATTACAGGAATAAAACCGAGTTAGGAATTAGGGTAATTAGAATTCCAAAAGAATTCCCCCCATTGATTGTTCTTTTTTTCAATCAGAGACTTTCTTGACAATATTAACTGATTCACCAGTAAATACGATGATGTCACTTAAGTTCCTGTTATGTCCCAGCAATGTGGTAGGCCCTGGGAGTAGAGAGGGTGAGCAAAAAGATATGGTGTCTGTTCCCACTGAGTACATTTTGTTTTAAACGGTGGCTGCTAGTAACTAGTACACATATTAAGTATGTGTGTGTGCACCCAAATGGATGTGTAATTAAAATTCATGAAACTGTACTTACCTCACTATATGTAGTACAGTCTGGTATTTTCTCTTTTATTTAAGGTTTTTGCTTGTTTATTTTAATGCTGGTCCCAACTCATTAAATTCATTCATAATTCACTAATCCTGATGGATCATGTCCTGTAGTTTGAGAAATACTGATTTAGTCGGCTCTTCACTTTTGAGGAAGAGTCAGAAGCAGGGGTTCAAGAAAAAATTTTGATAAGAAAACACATTGGGATATAAGCAACAATTGTTTGGTGAACATATTAAGTATTTTTTCTCTCTTTTTAAATTTCCTGTATTTTCCACGGTTACTGTAATAATATGCATTAAAAAATTTGCTTCCATAAAGGAGAAATCAGTGACACTGGGTTATTTAGAATTTTTTCTCTTTTCTATAGTATTAAAATGAGGAGGAATTATAGTATATGGCTTTTAAGTCAAGCCAGCCCTGCGTTTTAATTCTGGCTATATCATTAATTAATGTTTAATGTAGGGAGATTTAATTTTTAGAGTTTAACTTTTTAAATGTGTAAAATGGAGATAATAATACCTCATTGGATTATTATAGAATGAGTTAATGTATATAAGTTACTTAATGTAATGCCTGCATTTAATAAGTGGTAAAGTTACTTTTTGATCTAATATTTTGTTTAAATGATCTCAGAATCCTTTTTTACTTAGAATTGTAGATGAGATCTTATAAACTTAAGCTATGAATAGACTTACATCACTGCTTAAGTGAAAAAATAAATTTAGTTGAAGACCCACTTTATGAATCTCAATAGACTTGGCATACTGCCAGAGAAAATGTGGACACTTAAAGAACTTATGTAATCTGCTTTTCCATACAATGGATTTTAAAGTAGGGTTGCATATTCCTGTGTTTATGGGGTCACAGTACACCTTTCTTCCTTTCTGTAGAAGATGCTTATAAAATCCGGATCCGTATTGATGATGAGCCTGCCAATCTGGATATTTTGGATACGGCTGGACAGGTATCTAATCCCATAATGCTATGAATAAGACATTTTCACTCTAGTAAAGGAGGGGGGAAGGCTTATGCAGAGAATATCACTAGTTCATGTCTTTTAATTTTTCATGCACTCTCACTCAGGATAGCAGGTAATTGATATATCTCTTCCTTCATCTGAAATAAATAGCTAATATATATGTGGTTCTAGGTTGCATCATTACATTAATGACCCTTGTTTCCCTCTAGGCAGAGTTTACAGCCATGCGAGATCAGTATATGAGGGCAGGAGAAGGGTTTATCATCTGTTACTCTATCACTGATCGTCGAAGTTTTCATGAAGTTCGGGAGTTTAAACAGCTTATTTATCGAGTTCGACGTACTGATGATACACCCGTGGTTCTTGTAGGAAACAAGTCTGATCTGAAGCAGCTAAGACAGGTGAGGACAGAGTTGAAAATGCTGTCTGAAACCTAATGGGATTAGTTATTTTTGTTTTTCTGTTTACAGATTCCTCTGTCTGGAAGTAAAAATTAAAAACTAGCTTCTCCCTAACCTTGAAAATTTCCTGTTATATACTAATTTGCTATCATTTGGGATCAATGTCTGGATTTCAGGAATCAGTTTACAGGACAAAATCCACAGGATAGTAATCAGGTGGCTACTAGACACAATGAATGGTACAAATTGTTGGAAGTACTAGTAGTTTAACTTTGAAAAATTTATTCAGAGATTTGTATGTAAAGTGTTTATTGCCAGGCTATTTATGGTAGCCAAAAATTAGAAAAAGCCTAAATACCCAAAAGTAGGAGAAATTATGGTATATCCATAATCATGTATATCAATTTTGGGTTCCTTACAGTTTTCAGTATTGTAGTTTAAATATACATCTGTTTGCCTCGTGTTTTACATTCTTAAAATGAAAAGTATAAAGAAAATGCAGATGGCACTTTTGATATCTATAACTGTTGCCTGTTGCAAAGGGTTATCTTTAAAATGGAGTAGAAATAGATTTACATAATTTGAAGGCAGAAGGAATCAGAACTCATGTAATTTAGCCTCCCAACATTACGAAAATCACTGCACTCTGCTTGAATACCTCCGGAGTTGAGGAGCTCTCTTCCTGTTAAGGTAGCTCCTTCTTTTGGGGTAGTTGTAATTGTTTTCCACTTGTACCACTACACATGTTCTCTGTTTACGTTTTTAAAGGTCACTAAGGAAGAAGGATTGGCTTTGGCCCGAGAATTCAGCTGTCCCTTTTTTGAGACATCTGCTGCATATCGCTACTACATTGATGATGTATTCCATGCCCTTGTCCGGGAGATACGTAGGAAAGAAAAGGAGGCAGTACTGGCCATGGAGAAAAAATCTAAACCCAAAAACAGTGTATGGAAGAGGCTAAAATCACCATTCCGGAAGAAGAAAGATTCAGTAACTTGAAGTTGTGAAGTGTTTACGTGTGAACTGCAGTGCTTAATCAAAGCAGTCCAGTAACCTGCATTAGTGAGCATGGTGCTTGCTCTCTCTTCCTGTTATGACCGTTATTTGTAAAGTAACTGATGAAGGGGACATGCCTACTAGGAGTTTTCAATGATGTGGTATTTAATATATTGTCTCTTAGCTAATTCTGATTTATTAACCCAGTGGAGCACTTTCTGCTTTTAAATTGTCACATTAGAATTTGATTTTCCATAGTTTTGGGTTCTGTTGCTGATTAATTAATGTAAATTGTTTATATCCAGGGGAATATGTATACCATGTGTTGGACTAAGCTCATAAGAGGAATTTTTTTGCCATGCACTACTCCACATCATCTTTTCACTTCAGTTTCCTGGGACTGTCTCAGAGAAGGACCTCCGTCTTTTCTATTCACACTGTGCTTCCTGGAAACAAAACAAAAATCATATAGGGAAACCAGTGCTAAAGAGACCGGTGCTGAAGTTCAGCAAATAGCTGTGGAACTGACTCCTGTTGCAGATCATGGAGTGATGAGATTTGGGGAAGTAGGCCATATATTTACAGGAACTTGGCTAGAAAAACAGTTGGGTCAGAACAGTGTTCCCAGTATGCACCTGGCTTTTCTAAGAAATGTACTAGGATGGGTGAGAACAAACAGAAGCATGTAAAATGTAATGAAGGGTTCTCCTATGAGCTTCTTTTACTCTTTGTTTCAGGGTTTGGACTTTTCTTTACCTTCAAAGGTAAACACTTAGCTAACCATCACTGGATTCCAAACTCATTTAATTTAAATCCTTAGTTGGGACAGCCATTGCCTTGTAGAGGTTTATTTTTCCCCCAGAGATGCACTTACCAGTACATTTACATTAATTTTCCCTAGTGCTTTCCCTTAGCATCTCTGTGTTCTTTTTTTTTTCTTGTGACACGATTATTTATCTTTAAAGCTGTATTTTATATTATAGTTTTCCTGAAACACACAGTGTGATAGACATAGCTACATTCAGTGTCTTTAGAGATAAAAGAATAGCATAGGAAAAATGGTTTACTCGGTTCTCATTTGTTAGCATTTGCTGGACATCCAGGGTCTAAAGAGCAGTAACCACAGACATTTTATTTTGCGTGTCAGCCTTGTTTTTATGTGTGAAATGGTAGTGTTCCTCAGTACCTGGACCAGATTGTAAGTACACTGAGGAAATATGTGGTCAAGATCAATGGTCTTCAAACTTTGTTGTTGTTTTGTTACTTAGATTCCACATATAAGTGCAATCATGTGATACTTGTCTTTCTCTGACTGACTTATTTCACTTACGGAGAGTATGATACTCTCCAGGTCCCTCCATGCTGTCTCAAAGGATAAGAGATTATTTCTTTTTTTTTTCTTTTTTTATTTATTTTATTTTTAATTTTTTAATTTTGTTTTATGAGATTCTTCTTTCTTACTGTTGCATAGTATTCCATGGTGTAAATGTACCATAGCTTTTTTATCCACTCATCTACTGATGGGCACTCGGGCTGTTTCCAGATCTTAGGTATTTGTAATTGCACTGTTATGAATATAGGGGTGCATATATTCTTTCTAATTGGTGTTTTGGCTCTCAGGATATATTCCTATAAGTGGGATTTGACACATCTTTTAAATGCTAGAAATCAGGATTTGAGCCTATATATATCTGGTTCAGAGCTTGGTAATTGACCCTACCAATGTGATATTAATAACTACCAGCACTTATTGAGCCGACAGTAAGTAGAATTTAGGCAACAGCATAGTCAATTACTATTATATCCATTTTGTGGATAAGGAAGTTGAACCTAATGGAAGTGAAGTGATTTGCCCAAAGGCACACAGTGGTGGAATTAGGAACCAGCCCAAGTTGGCCAGACTCCATAGCCTATGCTTTTTTCC